ATTGTCTTTCTAGCGAAGGTTGACTTGGTTTCCTGTTCTTTTCAAAAATAGTCAGATTTCATTTCAAAACTATTTGGTGATTAGCTTTGCCCAGACGGCCCAATGTGAGTTCAATGAACTTCTGGGATGTGGAAGACTCTTGATTCAGAGTATAGATTTTGGAATGTGAAGAATATTTAACACATTAAGTTTGTTTCTTAATATTATTTTTAAACTGTTTCTTTCATTGTGATGATTCATTCGAGTTTTGCTTAAGACTCAAAATGAATGCAACGTGGTCTAGAGAACATTTCAAAATAGATCTTTGAACATACTGTGAACTGCATCCCACCAACCTGAAACATCTCTTTACTCCCACAAATGAATTCTTGAAATTACTTTAATTCGGCAGTGAATTCCTCTAATATTTGTTTCAATCTGAATGAATCAGTAGACATGTCCCTAAACTCAAACATGGCTGACAAAGATGGCCACTGCAGCCAGTGAACGTGGAGGTAGCCCCTGTGACATCAGGCAGCCACGACTAGATGCTAATCACCTGTACGTGCCCGCACATGCACACATGACATCACATGTGGGATTAATTACAGTGAATGATTCTCCATCACATTTCACCATCTGTTGTGACTAAAGTCCAACCAAACGCTGAACAATTTTCTATCCAAACACTGAATGATTATCCAGGAGTGATGTGGCTTGTCATTGAGGGCACAATGTCAATTGGGGAAGTATGGAACTGCTGAACTTAAAGGGCTTTTGAGACAGTCATTTCGAAGCACATATCCATGATGGACAGCTGTGAACAGTCTATCTCAGCTCCCTTTCCCAGAACACTGCCCTCTATGATCTATCTTGTTCTGTGTTTGGTAGAAAAGGGTCCAGTTGCTTAGCCATCAAATCCATAGACAGTACAACGCTGGTGTCTCAGGTGCTACACCTCACCCATGGTGGTGCCCTTCTTGTGCTCGTAAGTTTGCCTCTGCTCTGTCCTGTGAATGTATGGGCAGTGCTATCTTTGAGATAGGCAGCTGCGTCACTGTGTTTCTGTGCAAATTCATTGTGCCATCTAGGAGTGGCACTGACAATAAGCAGGACCATCTCAAATGCTAACTACAGTGCTGTGCACAGTGTGTAAAATACTAAGCACAATGAAATATACAATGATGCAGAGAAAACCAGTGCAGTGGGCATGTAACGTAAAATACAAAGAATATTGCTCTACACTATGTTCTATCAAATGCCAAACTCAGTGCTGGATACAATGTTGTAACAGTTCCTATGTAAAATGCTGTATGCTTCCACTTTGGTCTTGAATTATCTGTAATGTTGATTTAAATCTCAGACCACTTAGCAGAGTAACAATAGTGTGTGTTTAGACTCTGTTGTCTAACACTGCTGTTTTCTTTTCAATAACATGGCATGAATGTGTTTTCAGATTGTGCCACATGCAGCACAGTAGCTGTAGCTGACATAATATGAATGAGATGCTGCCAAATCCATTATGCTAGTGCGACTGGAGAGTGGCTAATGTTGTGCCTTTGTTTAAGAAAGGATGTAAGGAGAATCCTGGGAACTACAGACCTGACTTCAGTGGTGGTTAAGTTGTTGGAAGTGATTCTGAAAGATGATGAATGACAGGTGTCTTTTCCGTTGGGTGGGGGGATTTCAAGACTAGCTGGCATATTTTTAAGATGAGAGGGGAAATATTTAAAAAAGACACGAGGGGCAATTTTTTTTTACACAGACAGTGGTTCGTATGTGGAATGAAATTACAGAGGAAGTGGTGGATGCGGTTACAGTTGCATGAATAAGAAATGTTTGGAGGGATACGGACCAAGCGCAGGCAGCTAGGATTAGTTTAGTTTCGGATTATGGTTAGCATGGACTGGTCAGCCCGAAGGGTCTGTTTCTGCGCTATTTGACTCTATGACTCTGACCCTCTCTTGAGCTGGGAATGTGCCAAACATGTGGCTTCAAGTTTGCTCTGTAGCATAGAAAGGGACCTCATTCACAGTAAGTTTGATGCACCAAGAATTAGAACTCCATGGTGTTTAAACTACTTTATCCTTTTAATATTGGCATTGTTATGCTCCCCGAGCACCAACAATCTTTCCACATCAAATTAGATCCTGCTATTAATTTAAAGCATTTTGGGATTTTCAATTGGTTCTGTTTAATAACTTCGGCTGGGAAAGAGTTAAAGAAAGTAATTAACCTTTGAAATCTTATTCAAATCTTTATTGCGTAAAAGAATAATATATCAATGGGATTCAACAGTGAGAAACTCAACTGGCAAAGAGGACAAGGTTTAAGTGGCTTGTAAACATTATTTGGACCTGAACGTTACGTTAGATCCTTTAACTGATTACAAATTCACTCTTAAATAAAAACAATTTACTCATCCTTCACATTCCTTATTGTAAGAGGGGACAGTTTGTGGGAGCTGAAATGTCAATGATAGATCTTAGATGGACCAAATGGCCTAATCCAGCACATAAGTCATATTTACCTGTGCTCCTATTTAATGTAAAAGCTGATTGAAGAGCTGTTTGGTGTTGGGAGGTTAGCTGATCCAATAATAACTACACTTAAGATGATAGAAATGACAAGTCCATGCTGGAAATCCTTCTGTGTGCCACCTCAGCAAATTTTTCGATTGGTGAAAGAGTTTACTTGTTAGTTGAGGAGTTTTGATGCATTACATCTAAATCTAAATCCCTAAAGTAAACATCATTACTTTTTTATACTTAAATACGTCGTTTCTATTGTGAGCGTATGTGAGGGCTGTTTCCGCTTTGGGAATACTACGCTGTCGATCCACTAGAGGTGTTATTTAACACTTTTCCATATGACCACATTGTAAGATCAGCTTTGCATTCAGGTAAGTGAACGGTAACAGGCTTTGTTAAACATAACATTGTACATGGGAAAGGTAGGAGAGGGGATGTCGGAAATACCACCTCAGGTCCATGTTCCATCTCATTCTGACATGATCATGACATTACAAAAGACATAGAGACACATAATCACCACAGTATTCCTTTGTACTGAAATCCCAGATCACAAGCATATTTCTTTTGTCTGTGATGATTGAGGCTTGTGCACTCAGTTTGGTTTCACTATGAAGGACCAGGATTCTACGCATTCAGCAAAAATCCTGTAGAATTGTGACAGAAGACTTGATCTGATCGGAAGTTGAGTACAATTTCCCATGTCGAGAGTGACTCACATCATGCCTCCTCTGTACTTCAGAATCAGAGGCAAGGACAAGCTTGTTGTTGGATATACAACCTGCCTCTCACCTCCAACAACTCTCCTACAGTTATGTTGTTTCACATTAATTTGTTGACACAACTGTGAGCACTAATTTTCTGATCCTTGTCATAAGGTCCCTATTATTATGATTATAGGTATTTTTGCTACAACGTGTGTTTTGTTAATGTGCATTGCCTGTAACGCAATTGATGAATAGTGGATGCTGTTTGGATAACGTGAACTTTCCACTATACAGTATAGCAATTTCCCGATAACACGATTTTCTATAGTGTGAGGTTGCACAAGAATGCAACTAACGTGTTATAGAGAGCTACATGTACTCCTCCATCCCCGCTGCTGAAATTTGTCGAATCCAGTCTTGTTGCACTTTGGTCTACTTTACCTCATTCTTTCTCAGGACCTCAGTACTCTGGAACTTTTTAAACTTACTGATGAGCTCTCCTCTTGATTAATCTCATGTACTGTCCTACTGTGTCACCCTCAGCGATGTTTACACTTTGGTTTATAGCCCTTTATTTCTCAACAAAAAAAAAGCCCCACTGTATGATGTTGAATTTTCATTCTTTCTACGTCTCAAGAGAAATGTAGAATGGGTGGAGTGCTAGCCTTGCGTGGAGCAAGCAAAAATAATTTTCTTTTCTCTCAATTTCAGTAAATGATCAAAATCAATTAAGGAAGCACCCATAGAGTCAGATGAACACAGCAGGCCAAGCAGCATCAGAGGAGCAGGAAGGCTGACGTTCCAGGCCTAGACCCTGTTTGACTGCATTTGGTCCATATCTCTCTGTACCTATGCCATTCGTGTACCTGTCCAAATGTTTCTGAAATGACAAAATTGTACTCACCTCCATCATTACCACTGGCAGCCTGTTTCAGACACTCACCACCCTCTCTGTGAAAAAATTGCCTGCCTGGACCCAAACCAGTTTTGAATTGCATCAACCGTACTCAGAAAATTAAACTGAAACCATTTTTGTCTTTTTGTTCCGCTGAATAAATATCTAACTTTAAACCAAATTTCCACATTTTCTTTTGTTCACAGCTCAAACAAATAAGTTTTAATGGACTGAATGGCTGAAACCTAGTCCTGCTCGTTGCTTGAACAATTTGATTAAGCAGTGACCTTGAATTCTACCTCAACTACCTGTGTCCTAGCATCTTTAATTACCAGGGGTTTTGGGCTAGCACAAACAAGGGAGACTCCAGAGTTTCATGCAATCATTGGATTTCAGACTTATATTTCAGACTTATAAGCTCCATGCCTTATTGTCCCACTTAACTGCATGTTATCTCTGTCACTGCAAAATAAGATCAAGACTTTCAGTTGTGGAGCTGCAATATTCCATGTTAAAAGTTAAACTCAAGAACATTTCAACATTTCTAGTGGGTCCCAATGGGATATGTTCACATTCGCAAGCAGATCCCACATAAAATTGCTGTTGAAAATCCACTTCTACTTTCACCTTATTACTAACTTTACATACAAAAACATGAGGAAGAGGTAGTTTTAAAACTGACAGCAAATTAAGAGCTATCCTTGCAATATTTCCAAATATTAAAAACTCCCATGGGGCATTGTGTAACTGCGGATTTAATGATTTCAATGCAGAATCTTGAATGCACTACTCAGTAAATGAGGGATGTCTGGCACTCAGTTCTCAACAGATGCAGGGTAGCCTATAGCTATTGATAATTGTTGTGTAGTTTAAGTTGATTTCACATACCTGCAGCAGTTACAATCCCCAGGATTCTGCAAATACGGTCCAGCACTCCCCAAAATCTTGTTGTAGCCATGCGGATCAATTTCTTACCAATTGGTCCAGTAAGCTCTTAAAAATCAAACAGATAACATTATTCTTCATTGCTGTAACCGCAAGTTGGGCAGATATCTCCATAGAAAGTTAACAAGAATGCCGTTCACCTTTAAAAGCAGATTTCTTCGCCAAGCTATTTTGATGGATTCTGATTTGGCCCTCTGCCTTGATCTCCACTCTGTGTTTTGCAAACAAGGAGGCTTGAGGGGTTTACCCTTCAGACTATGGATATTGCCACTCCTAACCAGTTAGCACGGCGACAACCTAGCCAAGGTTACAGTGACTGTACTTTCCTGCTTGTTTTCTAAAATCCAATTTGTTTAATCATTACCTAAAATATCATGCAAGTAGGGTTAATGACTCCTTGCAGCAAATCACCTCTCCTTTGCACATTCAGACAACAACCAGTGAATAAAATCTTTCAGCAATTGTTGACCAGGCTTCAAAGATTAAATTCTTACTAGTCAGGATCACAAGAGGATTTACATGCAGAACAATCCCTTGGGCTGTTTTTATTACTTCATGTTTGGGTTTTGTGATACAGAAGGCATACGTTTAGGTCATGTGTCAATCAGAAATGCTTCTGACAGTAACCACAAGTAGTTTTCACCCTCTTGTTCATTAACCCAGTCTTGCATCACTTGGTGCAATTTCACTAATTTGATGTTTGGACTGGTGCATCAAGCTGTTAGTCTGTCACCATGTTTTGCCTTGTTATTATCTTTCCCCACTGTTGTGGACCTTAACAGAACAAATTAGTAGCTGTTTCCAAAATGGTGGGGCTGAAGGAAGGAGGAAAGAAAAGTAGATGATAAATTTGGACTGTTACTTGTTAAATCTCAGCAACTGACTTAAAAGCCTTGGACCTTAGTTTGACAGAAAGTCAGTTATAAATGAGCCTGGATGCTTTAAAATGGCTGCTAAAGTCACATGACTTGAAAGTAGTCAAGCTTAATGTAAATTTACAAAAGAATGTCTAAGTACCTTGGAAAAAACTGGCTGTTTCCTTGAAACTCCGCAACACAACCTGCAAAGATTATCCAAGAGTAATTATCTGATCATTAAAATTCATCACATGGATTATACACCTCACATGAAATGTTCAAGTAGTTTTGAGAAATAGGCTCCTCAAATATGGGCATCACCAAAACAAAGGCCATCCTCCAAAACCTGTTACATAGAGAGAAGTTTTGAAGCTTTCCTTTATCTGCAGTGAAGAATAACTGGGGAACTCTGATGCCAGCACACCAAAACTCTATGTTAAAAGTAGAATGTCTCCATTATGGAACAACAAGCTGTATTTACACATTGAAACCCTGCCCCATGAGAAGCCATCATTATTAGCTTGTGGTTTTGCTATGGAAAGAAATTACATCCAGAAATTTCGTTGAGGCTGACAGAATTGTATAATAGCATTCCTCTGACTCGACAGTTCTCAAGTTCGGACATCTCTGTTAGAAGTTTGAATGCATTATGGAATTGAGAATTTAAAAGTAAAAATAACTTCAAATGCCATGGCACTCATTCTGAGAAAAGGACAACTTTCAGTAGTAAGGACTGTCAGCCAAAGAACAATCAACTTTGCCGCACACATCAGAACTTTAAGATCAACATCAAATTCTATAATCCCTTCATTTAAAAGCTGCAACTTGTCCAATTCTACCTCCTTCACCCTAAATCTTGTTTTGTCTGCTTGAATATTTGTGCATATACATATGGTGCTAGACTCAGGGTATGTTTTACCTTTATAATAATGTTTATAATCTTTTATTGAGTGGCACAGAGTCATACAGCGTGGAAACAGACCCTTCAGTCCAACTCAACCATGCCAAACAAGTTTTCCAAACTAAGCTAGTCCCATTTGCCTGCGTTTAGCCCATATCCCTCTAAACCTTTCTTCTTCATGTATCTATCCAAATGTCTTTTAAGTGTTGTACCCATCTCTATCATTTCCTCTAGCAGTTCATTCCACATATGGACCACGCTCTGTGTGAAAAAAATTGCCCCTCAGGTCCCTTTTAAATCTTTCCCCCCTCATCTGAAACCTGTGCCCTCTAGTTTTGGACTCCCCTACCTTGGGGAAAAGATCTTGACTAATCACCTTATCTTTGCCTCTCATGATTTTATAAACCTCTATAATGTCACCCCTCAGCCTCTGATGCTCCAGGGATAAAAGCCCCAGCCTATCCAACATCTCCTTATAACGCAAAGCCTCCAGTCCTGGGAACATCCTTATAAATCTTTTTTACACCATTTCCAATTTAATAACATCCTTCCTGTAGCAGGGTGATGAGAACTGTATACAGTACTCCAAAAGTGGCCTCATCAATGTCCTGTACATCTGCAACATGCTGTCCCAACTCCTATACTCTGACCAATGAAGGCAAACATGCCAAATGCCTTCTTCACCATCCAGTCTACCTGTGACGCAACTTCCAAGGAACTATGTACCTGAACCCTTAGGTATCTCTGTTCAAGAATGCTAAACTAACTCCTTAATATTGATTAACCCAAGAGATCTGGCAGCTTTGTTTCTTCATAGTTTTACGCATGGTCAAGTATATGTTTATTTGAAAAACACATCTTTTTAAAAATCAAACTCTGGTATACTACTCTCAAGAATGGAAAGAAAAGGGTTAATTTACCTCTGTGGACTTGATTGCAACACAGCGTAGTCTGAGTTTAGATGGAACAATAGAGCTTCAGTGGAGAACAGGCTAGTGATAGTCATAAAATATAAAAGGACAAAGAATGGAAGGCGAGGGATGAGTGAGGGGTGATTTATCGTGTCGAATGATTGATGAAGAATAGTTTACAAATCTTGAATGAGTTTGGGCTTTAAAACAGTTAAAAGATATTGAAGTGTTTGGCAGGGAGAAGGAAACCAGGCCTCTCAGAGACAGCAGTTAATAACAGATGAAATATACAAGTTGCATTGAAAATGAATGAGATAGGGAATTAAAATTCTGACTGAAGGGCAGTGAATGAAGCCAACATGCACTTTTCTTTCTTTTTTATGGGATCTGGGCATCATTGGCACGGCCAGAATGTGCTGCCTACCTCTAACTGCCTTTGAGCAGCTAGCTTGCTAGGCATTAATGACCAAGAATGAGTTTTACAACTAGTGTTTTATGGGCGCCTTTACCAATAGGTGTTTCCAGATACATTCACTGAATTTCAATTTCACCAGCTGCTGGAATTTCAATCCATGTACTCGAGCAGATGAACCTGTGCCATCATGATTCTTGGTCTAGTGACATTCCCAGTAGGTCACCACCTCACCTAAAGTGGTGATGGTTGCTAGTTAGATTTTGTGGGCTTGAAGAACTATATATTTGAAGCTAACACGACTGCTCTTTTGAAGGTGATGGAAATGCCAAGTTTCTAATAAGCAGTGAGACGTCAGGCAATCATCGTCATCCGGGACATGTGTTTTGAAAGTACGAAGAGTGGAAACAATGGTTAAAAGCAGATTTGGTACTGGGTTGAAGAACCATTATACAAATAGATCCATACTCCAGACTGATAAGTAGTGCCTGGCACAATTTCGGAGACACAACCATCTTTTGTTGATCCATACATATAAACGTATAACTAAAAAGTCTTTATCTTGAGAAATGCTTGCCATTACAAGCGATCCCCAATTTACAAAGGTCTGACATATGGATGTTTGTACTTATGGATGAGATCCTATAATATTACTAACTTTAAAGATATGACGTGAACATTTGCTTGTCTTATGGACAGTTATTTTATATTGTACTGTATTGTGTTCTGACTTGCTTACAAATTGACGTATGAGCATACTCAAGAATGGAACCCATTTGTAATTTGGGGATTGCTGTAAGTGGTAAAATGGATCAAAAACACAGAGTCACAGCTGAGGCAAACATCTGACATATGCTTACTTTAAATAACAGGAATCATTTAAATTACTAGCAAAGAGTATTACATCCCTCATGAACTATTTATTATATTGTTGTATGATAGAGAAAAAATATATTCCTCCTTCATAACAAGAATTTGCATAGAACATAAACTGTGCTGCCTAAGTGGCCAATGTTCTATATGTATTACTTTGCTTGAAAGTCAAACAAGGCCTGTGTTAAATTAATTAATTTCAATAGGTATTGTGGTCGGTACCGGTGGTTGCTATCCAAAGACTCCAACCCAAAAGTGCATAGCTGCAGGTGCTGGGTGATGCTGGGGAGAGATGTAATGCCCCTTTTTAGGTAAACAGTCTACCAAGGCCTATCGTCTCCATCAAACTAAAGAAAACCTCATTTGATGAAACACTGTAGAGAAGGCCAATGGATCCAAGTTCAAATATGAGTCAAAGTCTCCAATGGGATGTAGTGGAGGATGTCAACTTAAAACTAATTATTTTTCTGCTATTGACGGAAATATAGAAAATAGGAACAGGAGAAGACCATTCAGCCCTTTGAGCCTGGTCTGGCATTCAATATGATCATGGCTGATTATCCGACTCAGTCCCCTGTTCCTGCTTCACTCCATCCCTTCGATCTCTTCAGCCTAAGGAATATATATAACTCCTGACTGAAAACAAATTCTAGATTAATGATGATCATGAAGAAGTAGAGATGGTCACAATTCTTGCCCTACATTTGTCACTAGTTCCCTGCAGCCAAAATGTGTAATTCAGAAAAATGATCAGCTCCTCTGTATTGATTCCAGTGCCTCAATTTGTCACAAATTAGAGTGGATAGATGCTCCTTTGTCTCAGCAGCTCAAAGCTTTCCATTTTCACATTTAGCTTAAGGTTTTACAACCAGAGCATTGATAAGCCTGATGTGCGTTATCCAATACGGGCAAAAGTGGAATGCTTGAGGAACAGAACAGAAGGGAGAGACTGTTGCTTTCCAGGCCAGGGGTGGAATTTTCCCCTCATTAATGATGCATGAAGGGAAAACTGGTCTGGAGCTTTCGCGTGATCCTGTGTATACTGCAGGTGGTTCGAGTAAGATTAAGCATTGTAACTGAACGGCAGTATAATAGCATCAAATTCCTCTTAAATGTTCATTGTGCATGAATATTCAGTGAGGACACGCTCACGCACAAAGGCATTTTGTCCTAGGAGTAGAATGTGACAATAAGCTGGTGAATTATTAATTCATATACTCAGGTGGGTAAAGTGCAATGTATATAAGGATATTTCCTCCACTAATGACTTGCTGTCTTACTGGATAGTGTGAGCCTTAGGATATTTTAGTGTTGGCTCAGGGGCACTTATTCTGTGCTTGTATTAGAATAGATTGAGAATGGAGACTGAAAACATTTATTCCCAGGGGCTTTGCTTGCAGTTTACATCTGCCTCCTTCCCTCCAGCCTTGTGCATTCTTT